TTGTCATGTTGAAAGGAACCCATCCCATGGACTTTAAGTCTAACATACATATACAGAAATTGTTTCCAACCCCAAGCATTAAAAAAAGGGCATATGTGTAGCTTCTCTGATAGAATAACAGGTCAGATGAGGGGGTTTTTGTCAATTTTGGAAGTCTCATCATCTGTCTTTTTTGATGGTAACTGGTATTTGGTTAAATTACACTATAAACCACACATGTAGTTATTTTTTTCCACAACGAAACCAAGACTGCAATTCTTTTCTAGTCACATCTCTAGGAGCTAGAGGTAGCAGAATACAAAATCTTTGAGCATCATGACCCAAAAGCATTCAGACAACAGCCAAAAGTGATGCAAAGAGAAACTGCACAGATGTGGCAACTGCACTTGCTTTTGGTATAAAAACTGTACTGGATCTTCATCCTGATAACTCAGCCAGAGCCTTGCCATTCAGAAAGGAGGTCTGAAAACACTTACACCCCAAATATCCTAATGTACATGCAGAAAGAAGAGAAATTATTTGCTCTGAAGGTCAGCTTCCTAGATGGTGAAGACATCAAATTGACTGCTCACAGCTTACGTGTTTATAATCTTTGGAGAAGGGACTACTGCTTACACATACCTTACAGCATTTTCAAACATACAGCACTGATCTTTAGCTGAAGGTGAAAAATATAAACAGCTGACCTCAGATCTCACAGTGCTACAGCTGCTAGAACTGTAAGTACTGAAGCAGTTCACAAGATAAATCAAATATTCCCCCTGCCAATTTGTTGCAATTTGAGAGGCTAATCTCTTTATTCTTTTTGGCATCTGTTTGAAGACTCCTGCTGCCTGCCTAATCTTGGTATCTATTTTTACTAGTTCAATGAAATGTTACATTTCTTCTTTTTGAATATAAAACCCAGGCTAGGCTGAAAGGTCAGAAGAGTTCTGTTGTAGTAATGAGTGTTAGAGAAAGCCTCATATGCATATCGTTTTACTGGAGAACAAAGATTTTTTTTTTTAAAGTTATAGTCCAAATACATGTTTCCTCTCCCCTCATCTTTCACATACATCATGAAGAAATTGTTCCCTCTGCAGACTGACACAGAAATTTATTCTGTTTATTTTAAGCTAAGCAAATCCTTTCCTTAAGCTTCATTTTACTGAATAGCCTATCTTCATCCTTAAAATTAATTATGAATATGTCATTTGCTTAAGTATTTTTAGTAAAAAGTAATAAAAATACATCAACTTGTTTCATTAATTTTCTTTCAGTAATCTTTACAGATATTTTTCTTCATTGACTCTATTCTTTCCCAAGTTAAAAATCAACTGTATATGTAAATTGGAAGTTTTACAGAAAATATTTTCATCTTGTTTAGTCAGAGAATTGATCCCTAGGGAAATGGTTGGGAAAGCAAAGGGATGATTTCATGAGCAAGGCTGAATATGTGAGGGCTTGAAAGACCAGGTTCTAGATTGCCAGTCAAGCCTGAAAGGAGAATGTTTCACACTGTATGATGCTTATTTAATAGGTGGCAAAAAGAATTTTCACTTTTTTGCTAGTTCAAGGGGCAAGTGTGCACCCACAAAGTACAACAGTTAGAAACTGTTATACTGAAATCTCAAAGAGCAATAATCTTCTCGTTTTTTTTTTAAAGTTACTGTAACACTGGAAGGAGATCATGTAACTAGTATGTTCCCTTTGCCTGTGCCACACTTTCCACCAAAGAAAGAAAACGATTTCCCGCTCCAAGGCCATAAAACTGGCATATTTTAGAAGCACTTTCAGATGACTGACATGAAATTTCTTGGTGTGGCAAAATTATACTCCCAAATTTACATAAACTTTATAAAATCATTACTCGTAAGAAAAATCTACATGAGATTTTTATGGACTTCTTCAATTTCTTATTATGTGTTTCAGTTCCTACTAAATTGCTTCTCCCTTTGGGAACAAATTTGCAGTACCCTAGCATTCATCCCAAAGAATCTATAGTGTCTATAAAAGCTAGTTGTCTTACCATTCACATACAAAATTCATACTGACTGTAACAGGAATATTTTATGTAAGACATTCAGAGTCATTCACTGTTTGAGAATATTTTAATCCCATTAGAACTAAATAAAGTGCTACTTCAAGTGCTTCAAAGTAATAATTCCAGCTGAATTGAAATTTAGATGATAGGCATCAAGGAAATTGCATGTAACATTCAAAAACATAACATCTACAATAGCAGTATCGGGCTGGACCAGTGGCCCATGTAAATGAATACCTGGCCTGACAGAGATGTGAGTAGTTAAAAACTACATGTTTCAGAGAAGGGTGAAACGGTTCTATTCTCAGTCTTGATGCTTACACTGTCCTTTCAGTGGTGTGAAGCTTCAAAGTCAACAACTTTCTCTACAACCAATTATATTTGACCACTCTTAAACCAGAATTTTTACTCATAGAGATGGTTAATAAAAGTATCTGCATCTGCTTTAGCCCATCCATAGTATCCCTCTTCATAGCTTCCTGTGGAAATTAATGTTCACATATGCATTGCACGGCATTTGGGTTAGCTTTATAAAAGATTGATCGTCTTTTACAGTAGGTTATACTCAGCCTTTCCTTTTCAAGGCACTTTTCATTTTTACTAAACTCAATTTATATACTATTACCAAATCTTCACCAGTCATTAAATATAGAGGTTAGTAAAAAAACCCCTCAAAACAGGCTTTGAGGTGCAAGGAATTACATACAGCAGTACAGATTAAAGCTGCTGCTTTCAATTAAATTCCACTCACATTACATACTTTAACAAGTAGTCCCTAATCCAAAGCTTTTTGTTCTTTCTTCTATCTTTCATAAAAATCTCCAGTTAACCATTTTGTGATTCTCTGATGTTGAACAAAGAGTTAAGATACAACCTTAAGTATCTGCTTTGGATTTCCAATGTGTTACAGCCTATTGAAACACTAATATGTTTAATATTTGCAGCTCTAAGAGCTTTATTCCCCTTCAAAATCTGATGTCTTTGAACAGTTTATATGCCACTACTTGCACTGTAAATACCCTGCTTGATATACACAAACATATGCGTGCATGTATAACATGCATACAATACCCAGACACAGAAATACACGCACAGCGAAGAGCCAATAATATTGAAAACTTAGTAAGGAGCACCCTTTACTTCCTAAGATGACACAAAACACTGCCGCAGGAGAGAAAGAAACTCTGGCTTCTCTGAGGTCACACTTTTTCAATGAAATTCCGGATGTCTAATAGTTCAAAGAACTCAAATCTGTTAACTGCTAACACTGATAAGACAGTCTCACATTGAAGAGTATGAGACACACAGCTTCAGTGTCATTCAGTCATGATTTGGGGCATATATAGGCACATTGTGACAAGCAGCAGTAATAAGTTAGGTAAGAAGAAAGACCATAAAGAGATTTTTTTAAACAAAAAGGAGAAATACCAAAATTCATAATGAAACCCTCAGGTCTAGGTGTTTTCTGGTTTGGTGTTTTTTTTCCCTTTGTCTTATTTTTAATTAATCTGTACAGATGAAATATTCTGTCAAAGAATAAGAAGCCAAATTTTGTCTCCACTGCTGTAAATGGGAAGATGCAACTTCACTAGAAGTACCTAGAGTACAGATTAGAGGTTGATGTAGTTTAATACTCAAACTATAATTTAAAAACTTTTCAAAGGTGTGAAATAATTCTGAAGACTCAGAACTTCAGTATCATTGCAGAAAGTGCTAAAAGAAAAATTCAAACTTCCAAACGAAAGAGCCTAGGGCATTAACTGTGAACTCTCCAAACAGGAATACTATACAAGAACTTTAAGATTTTTCTAAGTATTAATAAGGACTAATATACAATTAATACAGATACTGATTTCAGTTTGACTTGCATTATAGTGTTTTACACCGGTTTAGCTCCACTGACATCATACATCTACTTTTAAGTTCTGCTAGTTTCAGAAAAGCAAAATTAGATGCAATAATTTTAAATCCTTTCTCAAGAAAAATTCTCCTAAATATTCACACGGTCACAATATTTTCTTGTTAATTTATCCCAAACATTACTCCAAAATTCCCTCTAACTTTTCAAAATATTTTTTTTCCATCGGTATCTTCCCAGTATATTGGCACCCCCAGTAGGAACTTCTCTCTGACACTGCAGTGAACATATACCGGAATTCTGTTTAATACAGTCACTTTCAATTTTAATTTAGAAAGAGATTGACTGAACAAGTCACCTATAAACTTGAATTTTACTGTGCCAGGGATGTATTTATTGGATATTCTGGAACTGAGTTCAGTGAAGTGCCTATTACATGCCAGTCCTTTCAGATGTTGAGCAATAACTTGGTAAATTCAAAGATGATTTATGAATATTTGGAAACATCTTATAGTAGTTACATTTTTTTTTCCTAGAATGTAGGATACTCATTAAGTCTGTATAATAACATGGCCTCAAGGTTTAACCTTCAGATAATATTTGTTCTACACTTAGATTTAATTTTGGGGCAGCAGACCATCTGCAAATGTATTGAACAATGACAGTGGAAATAAAAACAAATTTCTGTTTGCTCACTGCCTGAATTTAACAGTGTGTATACTCTGACAAGCCACGGGAAGTCTGAATGGATCTGTCACAAAAGAGCCTGAGAAGTGAAAACATCTTTAAGGAGAATTATTTCATCAGGAGACTCAAAAAAATAGTGCATGAGGGAAGTAGCTACATTAGTTTCCTTCTTCCTCTAACACCAGCTTCCAGCTATTTTTAAGGTGTCAGTTGTATCCTATTAAGTGTGATATATACTGAGGAATCACTTTTACTCGTGGACAACCCTAACTGATTTGTATGAAAGCTCTAAGAACCAGCACTTTTAGGTTAATACTACATTTTGCACTTGTACACTTTAAAAACTTCCCCGTGTACAGAAGGATGCAAAGTACATGTTTTTGTATTTTTGCTTTCCCATGCACTTACGCTGTTCCATGCTTGCTCTGGTAGGCCTACTGTGACATGGAAACTGGGGGAGGAGGTTGGACAGTCATTCAGAGACGTGAAGATGGCAGCGTGGACTTTCACCGGACATGGAAAGAGTACAAGATGGTAAACAATATTTTCTGAAGCCTTAATATTAGTTGTTATTTTTATCTGAAATCTGATATAATAAAGCTATATTAATAGCATCCTTAGAATGTAAGCAGGTTTTAGAAGTTCTCTTTGTCCTTAGATTATCATTTTGAAAATGTCAGAGTAGTAGAAGTTGTTTGCCTAAGCAGTGTTGCAACTGTGATGTTTGTTTTCAGAGAGAAACCTCACTTTTCTTTAATCAACTGTTCCATGACAGGTCCACATTTTTTGAGTTATTTATATTTATGTTTCTAGTGGCAACAGTAGACACTGCTCCAAATCTCCTAAGTAATACTGATTCACTATTTCAGATTCCTGAGTTTGTCTTTGCTGAAATGAACTTTTTATTACATATCTGTAACCCTCACAGACAGAGTAAAATTCTTAGTTGACAGACTTGAAAACTATTAAACTTAAAAACTGATAAAGTGATAATTTCAAACTCAAAGAAAAAAGAAAGTTATTTAAATATACAACTTGAATTACAGGGATTTGGTGATCCTGATGGGGAGTACTGGCTGGGAAATGAGTTTGTTTCTCAGCTGACTAATCAGAAGCGTTATGTTCTTAAAATACACCTGAAAGACTGGGAAGGAAATGAGGCATATTCACTATATGACCACTTCTCTCTAGCAAGTGAAGAACTAAAATACAGGTAAGTACAAAAATCAGATATTAATAAAAAAAATATACAATAATTATCATTTGAGACTGTGTCGATGCATGACCTTATTTCATACAAATTATGATGTTTTCTCATTTCACTCAGAAAATAATGTTTGCTCCATTTTCACCTATTGCCTAAAGCAGTTTTTATAATCAATTTTTTTCCCCAGTGGAGACATGTTTTACTAGTGTGCACTGGGTGAGTGTAACACACAAGATGCACAAAGATGAAGAGATGGTATGGTATAGGAGAGGATACATGTGCTGATATAGCAGATGGCAGTGCGCAGTCTTCAGGGCAATAGGGACCTGTCTGCAGTTGCTATCAAATCCTGATTCCAGGCAACAAATAAATTTCTGGAAGGTGGATGACTTAGATGAATAATACTGCAAGGAGATTTTCCACTTAAGTCAGTGACTAGTAGGAGCTGTTCTGTTGTCATGAAGAGCACACTGAGGTCATGCTACCTTCTCCTTCTGTGACACACTGGCTCAGATTCTCAAAGAATAACGTGCTCCTACCTGTGAAAATGAAGCTAATAGAAAATGTCCAGTCTCAGCCCCTACAAACTTGTCAATTTAAACACCACCAGATTTTAATGGACTTACTACTTAATGCTCCCATCATTCCGCAAAATGTAAAGTTTCACAATTTCTTCTTACATATTTGGTTAAAATAGGAAATAACATAGATTTTAAATAAATGCTTTACATATAAATACATATTATCATAGTATTATACATTTTGAATTGTATCACAGTATTATCCATTGTGAAACAGTATCAGCCACAGCTGAAATATATGGGCTTCATTCTCCAGGCTCTCTATAAATGCAGTAGATACTGTTTGATTGGTTATAGAAAAAACTAGAGGCTCCAGAGTATAACAGATGCTTTCCTACTACATGGAAATGTTCCTTTATAAGAATCTTACAGATTCATGGAGCTTTAGGTGACTGGACAGAAAAAAATGCCTAAATTTAGATTAATTTCTCCAAGATTTCTAGTAACTATTTGTTGTCAACAAAGTCAATCTGACACTTGAGAGAACTGATGCTGTTACTTCAACTTGAGTTTTATGTACAAAGGAATCCAAAACTATCAGCATCTCCCTCCCCAAAATGTTAGATCTTAATGCCTTAGTAATATACAGTTGTCTCAACTCCAAAGCAAATATTTTTTCATCTGGAAACAGTCAGAATCTACAGCGGAGATTTTTTTAAAGTGATGCTTTAAAATACTTATAAAGGCAACCTTTGAAAAATAGGTCATTACCCTTGTCCACTTAGAATATTTAAAAAGTATTACTGACAGCTAAGATGGTTGTCTGTAAATAGATACTTTGTTTTAGAAAGCAACCAAACATGAAATGCATCATAGAATGCAGTGGTTTAAAGAATATATTTAACATTATGAAAAAGATAAAAACTAAGGAAGTATTCAAGTGGGAGTGTTGATCTACTTGAGGGCAGAAAGGCTCCACAGAGGGATCTGGACAGGCTGGACCAATGGGCTGAGGCCAACTGTATGAGGTTCAATAAAGCCAAGTGCCGGGTCCTGCACTTTGGTCACAACAAGCCCCTGCAACGCTACAGGCTCAGGGCAGAGTGGCTGGAAAGCTGCCCAGCA